TGTGTAGCTAATGTTTTGATTTTGTCCCTTTCTTCTTTTTTGATGTGTACATCTATTGCTATAAATTGACCTCTGAGCACTGTGTTTGCTGTGTCCCAAAGGTTTTGGTATGATGTGTTTTCATTCTCATTTGATTCTAGGAATTTTTAAATTCCATCTTTGATTTCTTCTATTACCCAGTGGTTTTTAAGCAGGGTGTTATTTAGTTTCAACGTAATTGATTCTTTTTCCTTGCTCTTCCTGTTGTTAATTTCTACTTTGATGGTGTTGTGATCAGAGAAGATACTTTGTATTATCAATGTTTTGGATTTTGTTGAGGGTTGCTTTGTGGTCTATTCTGGAGAATGTTCCATGTGTGTTGAAAAGGAATGTGTACTTTGCAGCTGTTGGGTGGAATGTTCTATATATATCTATGAGTTCCTTGTTTCTATCGTTTTTCTGTTCTCTACTTCATTTATTTCCGCTCCTGGCCTTTAGGTCTTCTGTGTCTTTGCTGAGTTTCTTTCTAGATGTTTTGTCCTTTACCGAAAGTGGTGTGTTGAAGTCTCCTACTATTATAGTGGAAGTGTCAATTTATCTTTTCTGTGCTGTTAGTTTGCTTTATGTATTTTGGAGGCCTGCCATTGGGTTCATAGATATTCATTATGGTTATGTCTTCATGATGGATCATCCCTTTAATCATGATATAGTGCCCTTCTTTGTCTTTTATGGTGGATTTTTTTTAGTCTATTTTATCTGAGGTTAATCTTGCCACTCCGGCTCCTTTTTTGGTGGCTGTTTGCTTGATACATTTTTTTACATTCTCTGATTTTTAATAAATCTATGTCTTTGTTTCTAAGGTGTGTTTCTTGTAGACAGCATATTGATATTGATGGATCCTGTTTTTTTAGTCCATTCTGTCACTCTCTGTCTCTTTATGGGTGCATTTAGGCCATTTATTTTTGGTGTATTTATTGATAGGTGTGAGTTTATTGCTATCATTTTGTAGTGCTTTTTTTTGTGGTGCCGACGATTTATTTGTTCCTCTTACTCTCCTGTGCTGAGTTCCTTTTGTTTGTGGATTTTTTTTTCATTTCTTTTGTTTTCATAGACTTTGTTTTTACTGAGACTTTATGTTTTTCTTCTTTATTTTGGTGAGTACGTTTGTTAACTTTCTTTGTGGTTGCCTTGAAATTTACCATTATCTTCCAAGGTTTGAACCAGTCTATTATTACTTGGTATCACTTTTCCTTGCTCTCCATTAGAAAGTTCTATGCCTACACCATTTATTCCCTCTTTTACTGTTCTGATGTTGTTTTCATTTGCAGATTAACCTCTCTGGTTCCCTGTTGTAAGTCCTTGAGAGTTCATTTCCTAGGTTGGTATCTGGCTGGTGTGATCTTGTGTCCTAGATTCAGGCTGTTGTCTAATGTTTCTTCTCAAACTGAAGGACTCCCTTTAATAATTCTTGCAAGTTTGGTTTCGTTTGTACTTATTCCCTTAATTTCTGTTTATTTGGAAATGTCCTAATTTCACCATCATATTTGAACAAGAGTTTAGTATGATATATTATTCTTAGCTGGTAATTTTTTTCTTTCAAGATTTTATATGTGTCATCTAATGGCCATTTTTTATCAACCAGCTCATGGATTCCTCAAAATTTAACAATTGGACCTCATGAGTTGGTAATGCTGACTCCAGAACACCGCTGGGTGGTGGCATGGGGAGGATGGTTGGGTAATGGGAGATGGAAGGGAGAAAACAGTTAGGATAAATAGTAAGTTCACAGTATCGTCAGCTCTTATCACCTGGACCCCTTAGAGACCTATTGGAGAGTACTTCTGCCCTACTGAAATGAACTTTTCTAAAACACTAGCTTTGCCTTACAGGGCCTCCTTTGTGAGCGCTGGCAATAGAACCTTTCCAGTGTTCCAGTCTTACAGCTTGACTCATGGAAAAGCAGAGGGTCTTTCTTCTGGCAATTCTAGCCCCTTCTCCTCAATAGACACACGTTCTAAAATAAAAATGACTCCTTCAAACATAGCATAGAGCTCACTAAGGTTTACCACATTGTACCCAGCAGGGAAGATGAGTTTCTGCCAACTGATCTGCACTTGCCCACCTGTGACTGTGGCACCAAAACAAAAAAAAAAGTAAACCAATTGCTGTCAAGTCACTTCCAACTCATGGCAACCCCATGCGTTTCAGGGTAGAACTGAAGTCTACAGGGTTTTCAAGGCTGTGACCTTTCAGAAGCAGATTGCCAGGTCTTTCTTTTGAGGTGTCTGTGGGTAGATTTGCTTCATTAATCTTTCAGTTAGTAGCCGAGTGCTTAACGATTTGTGCCACCCAGGGCCACCTAACTGTGGCACCAGGCACTTACATTTAGAGCTATCCTCCAAAATTATGGGGCAAATGAGAAGTAAGGGATCCATCAGCTCATCCAAGTTCAGCCATCCAAGTTTGGCTTTGAACAAACGGATCCAAATTTGACCTGAGCACAAAGAAGACTTTCTTTGCACTCAAAAAAGAGTTAGCAGCTAGAACTTCCCAGAGAACTGTGACACCTCTTTCCAAGAAACAGCTAAGAAAAGTGGGAGGGGTGTACGTTTCTACCAAAAGCTAGGGCTTGGCTGAGATGACTCGACACAGCCCTCTTCCTGGCTCCAATAGTCTAAGTGCCTGACTCGTACTTCTTGAGAACAACAAAGTGATTTAAAGTCTGAAAAGAGATGAGCAATCCTCAAGACACAGGCAGAAAAAGTCCCTGTGAGACAGGAAGCTGCTGCGTAGACTTGCCAGCAGAGGCAGCGCTGCCTCACATGTAGGTCCTCTGCCCTGGTGTCTGTCTGTGAGCAGCTGCTGGGCTCCCGGCAAACTCCCTTTTCTCTCCTTCCTGGCTGATGGATCCCAAGGGGCTCCTCTCCTTGAACCTCCTGCTATTGCTCTCCCTGGCTTTTGAGCTGAGCTGCGGAACAGGTGAGTGTTCATCTGTTTGAGGGTTTGGATACCATGATGACCTGCCAGGAATCAGCATAGCCCTGTGGATGGAGAAAAGATGCAGGGGCTGGGGACTGTGGCCCGCTGTCTCTTCCTTAGGGACTGGCTCTCTGAGTTCTCCTGCCTCTTTCAAAGAGGAAGGAACATAATGAGTTCCCGGGCTCCTACCAAGGCTCAGCCTCACCAATCCCAGTTCCCAAGGAAAGCGGGAGCTCTAAACCAAAGGCACTGGTCACATTCCAGACCAGCCTGTCAGGGTGAGAGGCTCTGGTTGAAGTCCTGATTGAATGGCTGGTTTTGCATGGGTATCATTCTAGCAAAGACCCAGGCTAGAGAGACTAAGCTGAAGGGACAGAGCTCTGGGAGATTAATCCTACAACACTGCCCTGGAGGAGGAGCCTGACACACAAGCAGACAAACCAAGAGCATGGTCCAACAAGAAGGAAGGGGTTAGAGTGGGAAGGAGAAGGTAGAAGTGAAAGCCTCAGGTCATCAGCTAAGAACAGACAGTGGCCACAGTGTAGTTACTGGTGGCTAGTTTCCTGGAAGAGAAGGTTACAAGGCAGCAAAAAGGGGAGAAGACAGGATTTCTGGAGCCCAGGGTTAGTTACAGTAAGTGGGAAATGCAAATCTGGAGCCATCAGTGTCAGGGCAGCACGAGTGGTTGGGCCAGATAAACAGCAGAGCATTTGGGGCTGGGTTCTGCTCTTGTCTTTTGCCTTGCCTTCCTCCAAAGCTAAGCTAGTGTTCTTCGTTCAGTACTATCAGGGTTATGAGAAAAGGTACTTGAGGGGAAAAAAGTGAAGCAAGAAGTAGACTTTGGGCTGACTGTGTAAGTAAGGGTGAGCATCAATTCTTTTCTGCTTAAGTCTTGGGGTTTTGGTTAGAGTGTAGGAGACAACCTGGAGTAGAAGCAGCACCAGGGAAAGCGGGATATCCTGACACTGAAGGTGTTTTGGCCTTGGGGTTTTCAAGACTGCAAATCCATTATGAACTTTTCCAGGAAAAGCCCTGAGATATGCCAGGGATGTGAGGGAACTGTGGATAGGGACTGTCTCTTGCCAGACTCCCAGATGAGGAGGCCTACAGGGTACCTGAGCCTTTGCTGGGCCCCACTTTCCCTCAGAATCAGGCAGACCCATGACTTCCTGAGGTTTAGGGGAGGAACAATGGAACTCAGGACTCAGAAAGCCAAACTGAGCCACTTAAAGTTGTCATAGGAGGAGTACTTGTTGGTGACTATAAGGAGTGATTGGGTTGAAGTATGAGCTGAGCTTTTCCATCTCTGTGCTTGTTTGGCTCCTGATCAGGCTGGCCTACAGCATCTCCAGGTTCTGCTGACATCTGCTTCACTGCGGATTTTGGGGGTAACGGTTAGTGAGAAAACAGCCTAGCCCTACAGAAGCATCCACCCAATCAGCAACTACTCCTTTTCTTGTATTCTGTCTTCTTCTCTGAAATATGTACAAAAATTTTTCAGTGTTTTTATTTTTAAATACACAGTGTTTTGTGAAACCCCAATAAAACCCAGATGGAAATGCTTTGCAAATGAGACAGGTCAGCCATGACAGATTTACCCAACCAAGAAGCCTGATTTCTTGTAAAAACCGTACCCACTCTCCTTCCCATTTGTACTCAGCTCACCTTCCAACTCCCAGACAGAATTCTAAAAATTAAAAAGTTCACATGTCCCATCCCCCAAACAAGTGGATTTTCCATTTCACTCAGTGAGATTTTTTATTTTTCCAGGCAGGTCCTCCTCACCCCCTTCACACACACTGGGGGAGAGGTGAGGGACAAGTGGGTGGGTGCTAGGCTTGGCCCAAACTTTTCTGTTCACTGGCCCATTCTATCCCAAGATGTAGACTTAGTGCTTCCATCTCTTGAAAGTTTTCATACTGTAATATGATGCCATCACTTTCACCGTCTCCAGATCTTGGCTAGAAATCAGAACATCAGGGCTACTGGGTTTCATTCAAAAAATAATTTGGACAATTCCATTCAACCACTATCTGTTGAGGACACATGATGCAGCAGGCACTGTGCAAGGTGGGGGAGAAATAAAATAAACAACCACAGCCTCTGCCCAGCCCCTGATGCAGTGCCTGGTCCTGAGAGTCTTTCCATAAATATTTGTTGAATGAAATTAGTAGTATGTATTGCATGCTTGCTATTTGCCAGGCACTATTTTAACTGCTTTATGTGTATTATTCATTTAATTCTTACACCAATCTTATAGTATATGTACTATTATTGTTACCATTAACATTTTATAAATGAAAAAAGAAGCATAGAGTGGTCTAGCAATTGCTCTACCGTCACATAACCCGACTCCAGAGACTACTGTCTCAATTAAGGAAACTGAATAAGTTTATATTTGGTGAAGGGAGACTAAAATTTGTTTCTACGTCCCATACTAAAGATTAGAATATACTACCTATAATTGAAGTATATGGAATATGCTATAGAAGTTTTAGAGCATGAGAGATTTGGATAAAATTTAGAAGGCTTTGATCTGGAATTTGGAAAGTGGATAGAAACTTTTTTTCGTCATGCAATTTTTCACTTAATTTTTTGGTTAAGTAGTTTGTTTATTGGAAGACTATCACATGAACATCTACAAAGCCTAAACAATACAAAAAGGTGTGAAGTGAAGATTTACTCTCCCTCCCATCCCCTTCCCTGAAGGCATGTACAGTTACCCGGTTTCTTGCATGTCCTTCCAAATATATATATCTGGATTTTTGTGGGATTTGAAAAATAGTATTCTAGATGACAGCACAAATTCAGAGATTAAGTGTTGTGAGTATTCAGAAGGAAGTGAATGGTAAGTGGTCTGTTGTGTCTGAAATCTAGGGTGCATGGCTACAGCACTTCCATCTCCTCACTGGGAAGTGGGGAGAAGGAGCCCCATAACTTTTCCCCACACTATATCTCTTAAGGGTGTGTCTTAGTTATCTAGCGCTGCTATAACAGAAATACTATAAATGGGTGACTTTAACAAAAAGAAATAGATTTTCTCACAGTTTAGGAGGCTAGAATTCCAAATTCAGGGTACCAGCTCTAGGAGAAGTCTTTCTCTGTCAGAAGATCCTTGTCTCTTTGAGGTTCTGCTCCTAGGCAATCTTCATGCGGCTTGGCATCTCTCTTCCCCTATCTCTGCTTCTCATTTCTCTCCCTTACTTGTTTACTCTCTTTTATATCTCAAAAGAGATTAATTTAAGACACCTCCAAGATTAATCCTGTATCGTTAACATAACAAAGACAACCTATTCCCAAAAGGGATCATAACCACAGGCATAGAGGTTAGGATTTACAACATATATTTTTTGGGGACACAATTCAATCCATAACAGGGTGTTAGAAAGGTGAAACAGAGCACATTCTGATTTTTTTTTTTTTCTGGTTCTATATCTTTTTATTTTAATTGTACTTTAGATGAAGGTTTACAGAACAAATAGTTTCTCATTAAACCATTAGTACACATATTGTTTTATGACAATGGTTAACAACTGTACGACATGTCAACTCTGTCCCTTCTCAGTCTTGGTTTCCCTGTTACCAGCTTTTCTGTCCCCTCCTGCCTTCTAGTCCTTGTCCCTGGACTGTTGTACTCCACTAGTCTCATTTTGTTTCATGGGGCTGTCTAATCTTTGGCTGAATGGTGAACCTAGGGAGTGACTTCATTGCTGAGCTAAAAGGGTGTCTGGGAGCCATACTCTCAGGGTTTCTCCAGTCTCTGTCAGGCCAGTAAATCTGGACTTTTTTTGTGAGTTAGAATTTTGTTCTACATTTTTCTCCAGCTCTGTCCAGGACCCTCTGTTGTGATCCCGGTCAGAGCAGTCGGTGGTGGTAGCCAGGCACCACCTAGTTGTACTGGAGTCAGTCTGGTGGAAGCCGTGATAGTTGTGGTCCATTAGTCCTTCGGACTAATCTTTCCCTTGTATCTTGTTTTCTTCATTCTCCCTAGCTGCCGAAGGGGTGAGACCAGTGGAGTATCTTAGATGGTTGCTCATAGGCTTTTAAGACCCCAAATGCTACTCACCAAGGTAGAAGCACATTCTCATTTTTGAGAGAGGAAAACTTGACTCTGTGTTATCATTCATTCAGTTTTTTTTGTTCACTTGGGCAGCAAGAGTGTATTGAGCCCCTACAGTGTTCTAGGTGGGTGCTAGGGATACAGCAGAGAACAAAACAAACACAGTCCTTGCTCATGGGAGCTTATAATTGAGTAAGGATGATAGGCATTTAAGCATAAATTAACCATGTGATGAAGGATAGATGGAAAATGCACTGGAAGCGTATTGCAGGGAAGCCTAACGTAAGCTAGGCAACAGAAGCCTTCCCTAAGGAAGGAATGTGGAGGCCGAGACCTGAAGGATGGGAGGATTTAGATAAATAAAGGTGAGTTAGAGCTTTCAGGCTGAGGCACGGTAAGTGCAAACACTCTGAGATAGAAAGATCCAGCAACATCAAGGAATAGGCGACTGCCACTGGGGCTACAGTTTAAAAAGCAGACTTAGACAAATCATCTTTTCTTTGTAGGTCTAGGTTTACCAAAAGAACTGCAGGCCAATAAGTCCTGCCTCTTCTCTACCTGAAGGAAATGCTGTGGCAAGATGCTACAAGCACGCACGAAAGCACAGGCTGGGCAAAAAAGGGTTGCCATTAGGTAGAATACTACCTTGTGAATGGGTTAGCTAAATACTGTTGATTTCTGGCCAATATCCATGGGTTCATTTGAATCACTCTACTTTCTAAGCAGAATTACCCATGAAGGAAAATGAGTTGGTGTTTCCAGCAACAAATGTTTCCCCCCAGACTTGTTTTGATAAACAGGGCCTGACTGAATCACAGACTCACTGGAAAACGCTCATCAGGCAGTAGGATGTTTCAGAGGCAGGGACTCCACTTGGTGGGTTTTCTGAACCACTTTACCCTTCCTCCCTTCACACACACTTATTTTTCCACTTATGCTT